TGCGAGTCTTGTGGGAACGGCCTGTCTTTGAGGTTAGATAAATAGGCTGAAGTCACTTCTGACTCGTAGTTTTGAGAGCCTGCTGAAGGCAGTGGTGTGAAGGATCCTGTCTGCAGTCCTCTGGTCTCTTCGGTCCTTCGGAAGCATTTGCAAGGGTCATGATGTTTCTAGGTGTGAAGTCCCCGAGTTGGCTTCTTAGCAAGGGGGCTTTTGTCTTCCATGTACATCTACAGCCTCGCTGCACATCGTATCCTGTGTCGTGTTCCTACCCGCTGTAGACTTTCCCTGGCTGCAGGTTCAGCGCCACACCCTTAGCGTACAGAGGCTTGGGTCCAAGTGTGCTTGTTTCTAGGCTACGCCAGTTCCAGAGTCTGAGCATTATAGAATCTTCTGGACCCACTTTCTGACTGGCCTGGACCCTCTTTGTTTTTGACTACTGTGTTAAGCTATCCAGGCGCACCTGCATTCCACCAGTCAGAAGCAGGACAGGAACCGTGGACTACTTTCCGATAGCAGTATTGAATACCACTAATGCTTTTGTCATTACTGACAGTTTGAAAATGGACGTTGAAGATCTGGGAATGGGGCAAAAGTGTCCCATCCCCTGGCTGTGGCTGTTCCCGCCTCTCCTCTTGTCCCTTCCAATAGTTTGGATTACAGTAGGTATTCTAAATTCTCTCTCTCTCTCTCTCTCTCTCTCTCTCTCTTTCTCTCTCCTCCTTTGAAAGCCACAGTTATTAATATAGGGTCCCAGAAGATTTTCCTGGCCTTTCATTTACACATATATTTAGGCTGCTTTAACAAGCCTTATGTAGGTAAGCCACTACTCCAGGACAACCTTGGTCAAGGAATCTGGATGGTCTTCCCGGGGACTTCGTGCTAAATCAGAGGCTGTCAGCTGGAGGCACATCAAATTGCTGAAAGAAAAAGCTGTTTAGGAGGAATCTCACCTTGGCTTGCCCTCTTGAGAGTCAGTGTTCCACACCCCAGCAACATCACAGTCCAGTGCAGGGAACAGCACTGATAGTGTGGATTCCTTTGAAACGGTTCTTAACTACTCAAGGACTGGTAATCTAGCCTGCTCATTAGGATCGTGGGCGGGGTTTCAGTGCGTGAATTTGGGGGAGAAGCAGACATTCCCTTGACAGCACTTGCCACGGAAGTTATTACATGGCGTTATTCTGAAAATGACATCAAAAATGTAAATATCTGGAGAGAGAAAATTATAACCCTTTGCAAATGATATAATTGTTTAGCTTGAAAAATAAAATGCAGTCTTTTTAGCACCTCTTCCATTTTAAAGATTTGGTTTGATTTGTTTTATTATGTGAACGTATCTGAGCATGTCTGCTTATGTGCAAAGGTGCCCTCAGAAGCCAGGAGAGGAGGGGCACTGGGGGTAATTGTTACCTTTTTAAATTGAACACCTACCAAAATTAAGTCATCTATTAGAGTGATGGAAACAAGATAATTAAGGCTCATAACTTTCTCTAAGTCGACAGCAATCAATAACTGCTATACATAGTCTATATGTATTACATATGTGTATACACATATACATATGATCTTGTTTGATACCACAACCAAACCTTCCAACGACTATAAGCTGCTGCAGAGGGAATTTACTGAGAAATGCATTAGAGCTACCTACATTCTGGTTAAGAGATGTTCTGAATCTAATGACATGGCTCTGAATCTCATTTTCTGTGTTTAATAGCTGTGACCTTAGGAAAGCTCGACTTTTCTAAAACTATCTATGTCCGTGTCATCTGCGTGATCCGACTGTTTGGGGTCAGCCTAGCTTTCTCAGCACCATTTGATGTCTGTCAGTGTGTTCCTTTGATACGGCAGCTGTAGCAAAAGACTACAAACTTCCAGGCTGAAGACACCACTAGTTGATTATAATACAGATCAATAGGTCCATCAGTGGAGTGTGGCTGAGCTGACTGCTCTATCTGGAAGTTCAAAGGTCAGGTGAAGGTGTTGTTGAGGGTGAAGCCCTGTCTGGGGGCTCTGGGGATTCATCCTCTTCCTGTTGTTGGCAGAATTCAGCTCCTCGTTGCACAACTCAAGGGCCCACTTGCTTGTTAGCATCAGCTCGAGGAAACTCCAGGACCTTCCAGGCTACCTGCGTTTCTTGGCTCACGGAGCCTTCCTTTCATGCTCATCAGGGGAAGACGGTGCCCCTCATCATGTCCTTAGGCCTTGTCACCCCTCCTCTGTTCTGGTTTTCAGTTCTAAGCACCTCGCTGCTTTTCTGGTCTGCAGGACTCACTGCACAGGATTGGTCCATCTGGATAAGCATCCTCTTTTAAGGCCATCTGACTTGTAAACTTAGTCAAATCTGCAAAACCCCATCACGCCGGTACTTATGTTACAATCCTGGGATATGGACTGTAACATAAGGAATCCAATCAGAGGATGAGAATCTTGAGGCAACCCCTTTGGAAATCCCGCCGTCACACACAGATGGCACAAAGACACAGGATTAAAGAAGAAACCCCAGGGAGCCACCAACTCGGACTCGGGTTTTGAGGCCCTCAAATATTACATCTAAACACGATAACATTCCTGTTCTCATTTGGCATTCCTTCTGCACTTAAGGCTGCTGGAATCCAGCGTGAGGTCCAAAGTTAACAAAATACCAGAAGAGAAGGAGAGCAGCATCAGCAGTGCCCTCCCACCCCAGGCAACAACTTTTCCAGTCTGTGCCTACTTCTTTGAGCATCAATTGCATCTCTCTCTCTCTCTCTCTCTCTCTCTCTCTCTCTCTCTCTCTCTCTTTGGGGGGAAAATATATTCTTTTTTTGTAATAAATACATCCTGACTGCAGTTTCCCCTCCCACCACTCCTCCAAAGTCCCCCCCACCTACCCTCATCCTCAAGATCTCCCCCTCCAATTGTCCAGTTTCCCTTAAGAAAAGAGCAGATCTCCAAGAGACAACAGCCACGTATGACAAAACAAGATACAGTCAGACAAGGCAAAAGCCATCACTTTGAAGCCAGACAAGGTAACCCAAGAGGAGTCCCAACTGATGGTAAAGGAATTAGAGATGTACCCGCTCCCCCTGTTAGGAGTGCTCACGAAACACCAAGCTAATAACAATAACATATAAGCCAAGGGCCTGCTGCAGACTCCTTGATGCTGCTTCAGCCCTTGTGAGCTCATATGTGTCCTCATTAGTTGATTCAGTGGGTCATGTTCTCCTGGTGTCCTCCATCCCCTCTGATTCCTGGCATCTTTCTGTCCCCTATCTTTGCGGGGAGGGACCCCATGGAGACTTCCAGTTTATACTGTCTCTTCACATAATGTCTGACTATGGGTCTTTGCATTTGCTGCCAGAGGAAGTCTCTCTGGTGGTGACTGGACAAGGCACAGATCTATGAGAAAAACATAATTTCATTGGTTTTGTGTGTGTGTGTGTGTGTGTGTGTGTGTGTTTGGCCAGTAGTGTTTGGACCACCCAGTCTCTGGTTCCTGGACATCCAGGCAGTGTAAGGCATGGGCTCTCACTTGTAATATGGTCCTCAGGTTAAACCAGACATTGCTTGGCCAATCCCACAAGTTCGAGGCCACCATTTCCCCAGCACATCTTGCAGACAGAACAGATTATTGGGCAAGGGTTTTGTGGTGAGGTTGGTATCCAGTTTTCTCTTTTGGAAGCCTGCCAGTACCTCCCCATGCCAAAGAGACTAGAATGGAAGGGTGCAGGTTCATTGTAGGCACCATCTCAACCTCTCTATGTTCAGTGAGCAGTACAGATGCTGTCCTTGGCAGTGGAACCCTGCTGTCAGTTTTTGGGAGCAGCCCTCTGTCCTAGCAGCATCCTGGGTTCTTTAGGGATCTCCACGGGAACCCCTTGGCCAACAACTCAACCAAATTCAGCGCAATCCCATCACCCGCAACCTTGCCTGGCTGCAAACAATGGCCAGTTCAGACTCCGTGGCCTCCATTACTAGCAATCCTCACTAGGGCCACCCTCATGGATTCCAGGAAGTTCCCACTGCATGAGGTCTCCACCCTCCCTCCACCTACAGGTATGCCCTCTAATTCCAGCTGTCTCTTCCTGCTCTCTTTCTTAAAAAAAAAAAAAAAAAAAAGCAACACAAAACAAAGCAAACACAAAACTCTTGGGTCTGGTGCAATGCTTCACTCCAAGTATCAATCTGTGATTTCTGCGTATACATACGACATTTCTAAGTCAATCGGGTGTTTCTGAAGACACACAGCAGATTCCCTAAGAGACTTGAATGGTCAACTTGGTAGAGCGGATGGAACAAGCAATGCTGGACTCCTAAGGTTTAGTGGAGTCCTGGGCTATAAGATGGAGCACACAGTGACCACCTCCTAGGAGGGAGGAGAGGCAGTGAGAATTTGAAAGAGCCACCAGGCTCTTGGGCCATGCCTGCTCCCTGCTACAAGGCACTTTGGGCGTGCCGTTATAATAGTGGTGAGATGATTTCTGCAGAAAGCCATTTCGTGTTCTCCCCCTTCAGAGCACTTTAGGAGAAGAGAGATCCCTCAAACCAGCTGCCTTGTTCAGTCCCAGGCACCATTGAGGCACCCTTCACTCTTAAGAATCAAGGGAAATTGCTCTGAGTTTCAGTAGCCCAGCAAAAATGCAAATATTTATCAAGATGTGGTTGAAACAATGTCTTCAGGTCTTCCGTCATCCTCTGTGCCATCGTCTCCTTTGCAAACCACTTCCCCACCGATTTGCCCAACTTAAAATCCCTTCCGTTCCCAGAGTGAGGCAATTTCACAGGCTCCTGTCCCGTAGCATCATACAAAAACTGACGAGGTGCCCCATGGACCAAAGCCTTTGCTGCCCCACGGTTTCTCATGCATATGCCATACAAACGCAACCATCCCTTTCCGATTAGCTATGCCTTCCCCAGCTCCTGACGTGTGCTCCAAACACTAAATGGTATTTGTCTCACCGTTCTGTGGCCCTGTTCCTAAAGGAGTTGCCTTTGTCATATTTGTTTTTGTTCCCAAGGTGTCCCTCAGCCTCATGTCACTTGGTTGAAGAGAGGAGGATCTCTGAGTGATAATGTTTCCTTGCTTTTCAATGGATCCCTGTTGTTGCAGAGTGTTTCCCTTGAGAACGAAGGAGCCTACCTTTGCACAGCCACCAATGCTCTTGGGAAAGCCGTGTCAACCTCTGTGCTCCACCTGCTGGGTGAGTGTCCTATTCTCGTTGTTCCTGGTGTGCCCTTCATATGTAAAACGCAGGGCCAAGACGTGTGGACATTGGAGTCAAAGTGTGAATGACACGGGTGTTTCACGGTTCTCACCCCTGCCACCACTGCCTACTTCTAACAAGTCCCTCCTAACACCCTGTCACACCAGTCCTCAGAAGGTGGTGACCGTGAAGCTGCTCTTCTTCTCAAGCAGCATGCCTTTTTCTGCCCACAATGAAAACTTTACATGTCCTGCTTCTATGACTGATTAACTCTCAACCCTGATCGTATGTGGGTGCTGGACTGAGGACTGTTTTAGTCAAGATGATTTCTGGTCCTATGAAATGTGCACATGCACACAAACACACACACACACACACAGGCACACTTGGACAGGCAGACTTGGACACACACCCATAAAGGCACACACGCATGCACACACACACACCCCTACTTCCAGACCTGTGTGAGCCAAAGCATCTAGGCACACGCAGCGTTCTGTTAGAAAAGGTTCTCTTCACAGCTGTCTTCAAGAACACTCAGCGGAATGGGAAGTTGATGGCTTTCGCTTGGTAATACATGTTACATGTTGTTTCCGCAGAACGAAGAGGACTGGGCAGTAAGACTGTATTTCCTAAGGCTCAGAAAAAGCGTGTTCTCCAAGCATCCAACGGCAGAGCAAACAGCGACAACTCAGCTGGAGAGCCCCTGCCTCAAGGTTTGGAAATTTGACTGTTTACAGGCTTTCCTTTCTGGGCCGTGTATTTTTTGCTGGGTGACTCTATGATTTTCTCTTTGCAGTCTGTTTCTGATCGTTTACTCAAGCTTTTTCCTTGCTCCTCAGCCTTTGGTAGTTCAATCTATTCCTTTCCCAGTGGAACAGGTTTTGCAGTGAGGCAGCTCACAGAGCTCATATCCTTAATACACGTCATTATTTGTGATGACGGCTATATTGATTTTCCAGCTTCCAAACTGTCATTGCCTGAATAAATACAAACAGAAGGAAGTTCCCCATGAGTGGTGGGATCCATTCTTTCATTTTCTAACTCACACACAAATTTCCCATACATCCCAACTTCTCATACACTGCTCCGTGATCCAAGGAACCTACAACCAGGTGTTCCAAGCTTGTAACCCACTTCAGAAGGCCAAAGGAAGTAAGGTAGAGGTAAGAAAATCAGAAAGGACAGTCAGGAAAACCGATGACGCTCTCAGCTCCTGGTTTCTCAAAAGTAGGTTATGATGACCCAAGGACAAACCAAAGCTACTGTCAAGCCACGTGTTTTGCTATGTGGACTAGTTGGAGCTATGATGTCCTTTGGGGATTTGAAATTTTGAGGGGTTCCTCGCGGCTGAACCACGTATCACATAGGACATAATCTTGTATATAGAAGATATAGTTTCTATGAGCCATACTTCCTGATATTCAAGAAAGAGGATAGGAGGGGTAAATGGTGTTAAGCTGTCCATCAACACTACACCATGTTACTAATAACATCACTACTTAAGACAGTCATTTAGATGTGATACTCTCATTATTACAGTCAACTATGTATTCATTTGGCATTCAGTGAGAAGTGCTGAGCACTTGTTTTTTCTAGGGCTGCTGCCCTACAGTCTTGGTCTTTGAAAAGTTTGCAGTCGAAGAGGGAGACACGCATGTGGACAATTCTTCTGGGGCAGTGTAGAGGATACCATGAGAAAAACATGGCCACAGCGCAAGGGCATTGCTGAAGAAGAGGCCCAGCTTCTTTCTGGAAGAGTCAACTAGGTTTTCATGTACGTCATGACGTGTGTTCTGGGAAGAGAAAGAAGGACCCTCTGATAAGAGAAACTAGAATGTGAGAAAACATTTAGATATTGCATGTGCCATGGGCAAAAAGACCGTAAGAACCCCTGCAGCAAATAAAACATCAGCTGTTCATGAAACCAATGCTACTGGAAGGCCAGGCCTTTGCTGTAGATGACACTTGGCTTATTGGGACTATCTATGACATTTTAGCACCTTGTACCCAGACTTGGACCTTCGCAGAAATGTATACAAATACTTAAATGTACCTGCTCCAAAGTGTGTCAGCCCTTCAGTGATAAATTAGGCTATTATTTTATAGAGAATTATTTGTTCATCATTGTTGCTTCAACTTATATATGGCATGCCCTGTCCTCACATTGAACAGGACAGCATGTATGACTTTGGCCTTCCGGTAGGAAAAATGAACAGGAAATAAGTAAACAAATATGTGTTTATTTTTCCATAGCTAAGCACTAAGGAGGAAATGATCAGATCGATAAGTTATGTAATGTTTGGTAGTGACTGCTTTGGGGAAGATGGTCAGGGCAAGCCTTCTGGGGAGGAGGTAGGTGAGCCTGGACCTAATAGAGGAGTGGAACCCTCTGTGCAGCAGGGTGAGAAAGCGGTATTCCCAGAGGAGGATTAATCAGCACGAACTACACATGGAAAGTAGTGTGGTGTGCTTAAGGAACAAAACGACCATGCGTGTACCGAGGGTACAGGAGGGGAAGGGAGTTGCTAAGAACCAACCACCCAGGCCTTCAAGGGTCAAGTTAAAATGTCAAGAGTTAGCAATGCATTTCATATGGGAGTGTCAGGCTGCGGTGTACTTTGCAAACATAACTGGAAAAACATTGACAGAGCCTAGTTCCTCATTCTAACAACCTCCCACCTGAGTGATTTCCGTCTGTCTTTAGCGGGACCTATTTCTGATGAAGAACGGCATGGAAAACATACAAAACTCCTTCAAGCTCACAGAGGCCACCACTCCCTTGCTACCAAACAGTACACAAAAGTCCTAACAGACTCTTCATTAAAAGCGACAATACAAGTGTGCTATGTGGCCCCGTTCCTGGGGAGATTCGAACAAATGTCTGTTCACCACAGATAGGGAACTGACAGAGACCAAAGTAAGGATAACAACGAAGTGGAGCTTGGTGAGCCAGAGTTAACTTACAGGAGTATGGGAGAGGCCTGCTGCAGGGATAGGAATGACTCAAATGGAGCCACAACACTGAAACCCGCCATCCCCCAATAGGGTGACTGCTTGTGACATCTGGGACCTGAAAGTTTACTGCGGGACTTTCACGCAGCCCAACACTCTGAGTATCTCTTCAGGCAGCCTGACTGATACGAGCCTCCTCAGCAGGCCTTACTGCTAATATAGACTTGGGGAAGGAGGAGTTCTGCGCATCTCATTGGTTTCAGTGCCTTAAGTCCCTTTAGAAGCTCCTGGCTCTCAGTGAGCCTTGGAGGAAATTGCTACACAAGGAGGCACTGGGAAAATGCAGATCAAAACCAGGCAATGCATGTCCATGCCTACTAGAATAGCTGAAAGCAAAACCACGAACTAAATTCCAGTCAGTGATCTTTCAACTAAAGCTTCCCTCTGATGGTGAGCTGAGACCACACTGGAAGACTGTTGGACACTTTGTAGTTACATATACACCCATCCTTGGTCCAGAAATTCTTCTCACTGGTATTCATCCAAACAGAGCGAAAACATGCTCACAAAAAAAGGTTTGAGAGCTGTCATGATAGCTGTTGACAGCAGACTATGGCATATTATTAGTTAGCAATAAAGGAAGATGCACTGTGGATACTCCCAACGACATGAGTGTATGCCCAAACACAGTATACTAAGCAAAGGAAGCTAAATACAGAAGCCCAGGAAGAAGCAAAGTCGTTATACTGATAGTTTTTTTTTAACGTGGTCACCTGAGAGGGGAAGGGGGCTGATTGGAAAATGGCACAATGAAAGCTTTAGGATGTTAAAAGACATTCTTTACCTGCTGTGGATCACAGAAGAAGAGTTTAGGCAATTGTGAAGCTCATAAAATTGAGATCTCAGCACTTTCTTTTACAGAAATTATACCTTCAATAAATGCCCAGTCGTTTTAAAGAAAGGCACATGCACCCTGCCTTGCACTGGTACCCAGAGTTAGGCACTGCGGGTTCCAGTCTCCCTGACACATAACAGGCGTTGGGCAACTTACTTAGCCTCTTTAAGTCTCTCCACCCCTGTAAATAAAAGTAAAGGTAGCAGCTTCATGACAGAACATGGAAGAGTCAATAAAAATTAATTGTTAGTGTCTAACCCACTACCTGCTCACCCTGGAGAGTCTCAGTACACAACCACATTGAAAAACAAACTGTTTTTAACTAAACTATGATCTGAAAGTACAGCTGAGGTGTGATTTATGGTTCTGCTCTGCAAAAGATGCCACGTGCAGTTTAAGGTGAAAACTCAAAACCTGGAATGGAAAAAGAGTAAGTTTGGAAGCCATTCCGTTCTGTGAGAGACCATGTGGACACAGCTGGTAGCGATCAGTTATTCACCATTCTCTGTGGCCGTCCACAAACCTGTCATCATCGCGTCCTACCTCATCGTCTACCGCATGTCAGCGGGGAAGCGTAACACAAAAGCTGTGCTTCCTGGGGGCGCTTGGCTTCTCCTCCTCTAAAGGAAACCCCATTCTTACCTTTCCAGTTGTCTCCAGAGCAAATCATTTATGCAGTTTTAGGGCTGATGTGATGTTTGGGTGAAGAATTCGTGGAAAAGTAAGGGTGGGGCTCAATGCATCTCACCTTACTGCTTAACCCCGGGTCCCTGGTCCTTCTGATAAATTATCTTCCATCTCCGCCCTATCCGCTTTTGGAAAATGGACGGCGTTAGGGCATCCCCTGCAGAGGCCTTCCTCCTTGTCCTCTTGGCTCTGCTCAGAGAATGCTGGGGAAGCACTGGCCGCCCGATGCCTTTCTCCTGGGTTTTTCTGGTAGACCTAGCTGGCTCTCTCCCAGGCTGAGCTCCAAGGGAGCCCATGCTGGCTGCCATTACCAGTCAGCAGGTACAGTAGAAACTTAAGAGAAAATAAGCCTCCCCTGTGCAATGGCCTTTTCTGTGTGGGCTGCCTAAAATACAGGGAGGTAGCTAATCCCAGAATGTTTCATGGTGTTCTTTTGACCTGTTGCCTCCAGCGCATCATCCTTTCTTATTTGGGATTGTTGGTGACATTTCATTTCCTTTTCTGCAGAGCCTTTTTGGGAACCTGGTAACTGGACGAATTGTTCTGCCACCTGTGGCCCCTTGGGGGTCCGCCTTCAGAGGCCACGGTGTGTGATGACCAGTGGGCAGGAAGCGAGTGAAGCCCTCTGTGGGGCTCACAGGAAGCCGCTGACTGGGTTTCAGTCCTGTAACACCCGGGATTGCCCGGCAAGGTATGTATGTTTAGTCACTGTCTTACCAGTTCACTAGATTTTACTGGTTTTGAAAGACACAGTAGGGGCTAGAGAGACAGCTCAGTGGTTAAAAACACAGGCTGTTCTTCCAGAGGACCCAGGTTCGAGTTCCAGAATCCCCATGGCAGCTCACAGCCATCTGTAAGTCCGGTTCCAAGGAAACTGACACCCTCCTCTGGCCTCTGCAAGCACCAAGCACACCCATGGTGAACTGGCATACATGTAGATACAACACCCATACACATAAAATAATATAAAAAGTTATTTTTTAAAAGGCACGGTAATTTGTATTGGCTAATAGCTCAGTAGCTATACTCAGAGAAAGGGTTAATGTGAAATAAATGACTAAATGTCACATAGCCTATCAGAGATTTGATCCAGTGACACAAAAGTAAATAATAAAAAACAACTAACAAACCAAGAGGGGTTTTTGTATTTTTGAGTTCAGATCTGTGAGGCAGGAATGATTTTTCAGCCCTAATTTTCTGATTAAAAGATGGCTAGTCAGGGCTAGAGAGAGGGCTCAGTAGTTAAGAGGCTTGTTGCTCTTGCAGAGAACCTCAGTGCCCAACAGCCTCAGTGTCCATGGGCTCACAACTGCCTGGAACTCCAGTTCCAGGAGGTCCAATGCCCTCATCTGCACCCATAGCATACACACACATACACACACACACACGCACGCACACACACATGCAAATGCACAAGCACACACATACGTGTGTGCATGAACTCACACATGCACGCACACATGTAAACCCATGAACACAGACATAGTCATACAGGCACACACATACACACTACTAAAAATGATAGAGTGTTTTAAAGAGGAGACCCCTACTGGTGCACAGCTCCATTTCCTATAGAAATGTCCGCACCGCAGGCTGTTGCCCGTGCCTCAGAAGTCTGTGAGAAGCAGAGTCGCTGTGTCAAACACAACAGCTCCTTTGAGGCACGTCTTCGGAAGGACTGTCAATGTTGCAGACATTCTACCAGTCATGTCTTTTAGTAACTGCTGTCATTCCTAAATGGAATATATCATACTAAGGGTCACCCTGGCGAAAGTGTAAATCTCACGCTGCGAAGCCACAGGGAAGTGTGGGCACTGACAGTTGGCGCGCAGTGGCAATTCTCTATTAAACCTTGTAGGGGGCACACTCATCACTACATTGGTTCCCTCCACCTAGGGACACTGCTGTTCCCTGAGGGGAGGGGAGGAGGAAGACTAGAAGTCACCTACGCTGCAGCCTTGTCCAGGAGAGGCATGTAACTCCCCAGACCCCACCATAGTGTTAAGATCAACAAATGAGCCTTCAAGTGACAACCCTTTCTAAGGCCCTATAGCTTTTGTTCCTAGGTGGTTTACGAGTGTGTGGTCCGAGTGTTCTGTGTCTTGCGGCGAAGGATTTCACAGTCGGCAAGTGACGTGCACCCAGACAAAAGCCAATGGGACTGTACAGGCAGTGTCCCCAAGGGCGTGTGCTCCCAAAGAGAGGCCTCTGGGGAGAAAATCGTGTACGCTCCGTCCGTGCACTCGACAGGCCATCGACCCGGGAAACCAGGTAACCTTAGGTGGTGGCAGTGTTATCTGTAATCACCTCTTTGTTACTCATGAACTTTAAAATTGTTTGAGAACATCTAACTTGAATTTCAAGCCACAGTGTACCACTGGGGCAGGAATCAACATGAAATCCGGAGTCTGAGTACTGCACAGAACCAGATCAATTGATCCACCGGTGACTTAAAGTTCAAGGGCAGCTTTGAAGAAACTAAACAGCATAAAACCACAAAAGGTTTTTTGAAGGCTTCTCCCTGACTCCACCTTCCTTCTCCCAGAATTCAGTTTAGTTTTTCCCCCCCTACCTAAGTTCTGCCCTATCAACAGACCAAGGCATTTTCTTTATTAACAATGGTATTCACAGCATACAGAGGGGAATTCCACATCAAGAACTAAAGCATTTGAATCTTGGTCAGATTGACAAAACCATCCATTGAAGAGAGGAATATTATTCTGTGATGCTTAGTCTCAGTTGCCAACATGCTGGGCTTAAAAAAGCCCCCCCCCCGGTAGTTGGGGGTATATCAGTGATAAAGTTTCCAGAGATTAATCAGAGGGGTGAGGCTTCTCCTGAATGTGTGCAGCTTCCTCCTATGGGCTGGGAAAAGCCAGCTTAGATCAGGCATCCTCCCTGATTCCTGATCCTCTGAGAGCTGACCCCATTCCTGCTGCCACTGCTGCTTGCTCGTGACACCTGCCATCCCTAGCCAGAAGGACCGCATCCCCTGTACCATGAGGCAAAATAATTATTTCCGCCCTTGGGTTGTATCCTGTCAGCAGCTGATCTGGGGATCACCACAGGAAACAACACCCTTTTAACAAATGCTTCAGAGCAACTGTGCAGCCACAGAAAAGCATGAAGTCATGCTCCCTGCTTACAGGAAGTACAGACACCGTGAAATCCATCAAAGACTCTTAGGAGCCAACCCTGTAAAATGTTTAGAAGAAAAAAGAAGGCATCATTCTTTACACTGTAGGAAATGGCATTTTACATAGAACACCAAATAAATAAATGAAACAAAATGAATACCTTGAATAATATCAAAGTTGTTGATAATTTTATGGCAGGTGAATTAAAGCCCAATAAAGTATTGCTATAACATAACAAGAGTGTATGAGAGATATTGGCTAAGTAAAGTAAGAAAAATAAAATCAAAGGGTACACTTAGAGTATATACTAAAGAATTCTGACCTGACCAGAGAGCTCATTCTAACAGTAATAAAAATATAACAGACTTTTCCATGCACAATATGATTATGAGGAAAATGTAATGGGTGTCACAGATGTTCACAATTCAAGGGCTACAAATCAAGCTTGAGTTGTTTCTCCTGCGGCTACACTTGCATTAGCATAGGTACCTCCATCTTTGCTCAGAGCGAATAAAAAGCAAAACACATGTGCACAAAAACCCCAAAACAAATCAAACATGGGCTTCACTATTTGTTTTAAATATAGCTGTTTCCGTACTTAAACGTAATCAAGGCAGAGTTTATCCCATCCTTCGCCCTTCATCCCAAGGTGGTCTGGGTTTCAGGGATAAAGGGTGGGAGGAGGGTAGGTCTGTCTGCAGCGCTGTCGTCGGACCCCTTCTAACTTCAGTCTAGATCTCAGTACCTACGGTGCCTGACCTGCAGGGTGTGTGAAACACTGCACTGTGCTTCTGTTCTAGTGTCCCGGACGCTGCATGGGCCACACCATGAGGATGCAGCAACACCACACACCCTGCGCCCACAATGGCTCCAGCTCCAACTGTGAGGACAGAAGGAGGTACTGACCCCAGCCTAGTGCGGCATGCACCTTCCCTCGCGCCTCCAGGGACCAGCACTGCCTGCTGTGGGATTATTCCTACTTTCTGCCACTTCTCATAATTGAAAATTCATATTCAATTATGATTTATCCAATATCATCCTTGATGGTATACATTATACTGATATGGCCAATAAGCTCTACTCACAATGACAGCAATTTGGATGTTGAATAACAAGAGAAACTCTAAAGGGAAAATGTGGCACCTCAAATAGATTTATATAAACACATACACATATATGTATATATGTGCATCGTGCATGTATATATGTGTATATATACACTTATATACATATATGTGCTACCTATATGACTTATGTGCCATGTATGTTTTGTATATGATTTGGCATGTATGTGTGTGTATATATATAATGTGGCGTATATACATGTGTTATGTATGTATGTATGTCTGCTCAAGCCTAATATTTCACTTGAGTTTACAGTTTACATTTTCCCATTTTTCAATGAATGATTTATTCCTATTTAGAAGCTGTGCTGATTTGGATATTAGTATAAATATTTAGCAGAGACTAAAAATAACCTTTTTAGTTTTTAAGGGGCTGTTTGCTTTTCTCTTGCACGAAAGTCCGCGTGGACAGGTGGTAGAGTAGAACTTGACTCACGAGAGCACCTGGAGGGCCAGACTCCATCTGCTGATTCTCCTACCCTAGAAGACAAACTCCCAGCAATTAGCAAGCATGAGGGAATCTGCAAGTTATACAACCACAGGGGATTTTTTATTCCATTGTTTTTTCGTTGTGTGACCTTGGGCTAGCTACCTGTCTACGTCTGCCAAACAGAATGCCGTCATGCGTGTGATCCTGAAGTTAAGCTGTTCCCAATGTGAGCATAGGATCAGCACCTAAGCAGTCCTGGTCATAGCGGACACTCCATATCTAATTCTTTCTTACTGCTCCACATCCTGAGCCCTGCTGAAGGAAGTGGAATGGCCTTGACTATTGGCTTGGCTACTCTTGTGAGCCTGCAGTCTGGTTTGGCAGCGTTGAGTCAGCAGTATTTCCTATTCCCACAAGGTGCTTTCAAGCCAGAATCATTCTCCTCGAATGGAAAATGTTTGCAGCAGCTGCCCCCATTCTCAGCAGACAACTCAGTTTCCTACTTTCCTGAGAAGATAGAGACCACACACAGATGTGCCCCATCCCAGATGTTTCCCTCTGCAGTCGTAAAGACATGTTTACAACACAAAAGCACATATGGAGGGAGCCTTTTATTTTAACATACTATACATATTTTTCTGAAACTTGGTTTTATATTTAAGAATATATTATAAACATGCTCTATCTCAGCACACATTGGCTTTATGTAAGTATGGTATTTAATATTCCATTATGTCCATGATGGTATATTGTTTCAGTCTGTGCTCTTGCAAACAGACGCTGCAATAAACATCTCAGAATATGTGTGTCTGTATGCTCAGTTGCATTTTGATGGCATAGATATTTAGAAATCAAAGTGAATTCATAAGTATACTTCCAAATTACTATCAAAATATCTAAACAATATGAGTTATCTGCATTTTTATTAACATTAGATAAGTTTTTAACATTTTAATTTTTAAGTAAATATGGTTGGGTTCTTTCCTGTAACCCTTTATATGCATTTTTGATTCCTTGTGCCCTTTTTCTTGAATTCACCTTCGTGTGTGTGTGTGTGTGTGTGTGTGTTGTTTTCTCCACCATCACCCTTGACCAAAGCATCATCATCTCTTACCTGGTCCAGCCTCACAGCCATCCTGTTGGTCTTCCTTTCTCCATCCTTCTTTGTTCCAGGACAGTCTCCAGTCCCAATGCAAACCTAGTCAGCTACTACTTGACGTGCTCCTAGGGCAAAGGCTAATCAAAGTGTTTAATGTGGGGCTACACTCTCAACTCTACTTCCACCTTCTTCACTGAATTCTCCTCTCTCTCGATTATATTTATACACTCCTCCTCCTTCTCTTTCTTTCATATAGATGATATAGTAAAATCATATATATATATATATATGTCTGTCTATCTATCTATCTATCTATCTATCTATCTATCTATCTATCTTGGATTGACTTTACAGATTCAGTCAAAAGCAGCAAAAACAAGAGGCGGAAAAGGGGGCATGAAATGAACTATCAGGTGGCTCTAAATCTAGTCAAATAGGATCTTACACAAGGGATATGGAAGTGAAACGAAAGAGTAGAACTGATTAGAACAGTAAAGGAAAATATCCCAGAGCAGTTCTTATGTGACGGTGTCAAACGCCTTCCATTTGCTTTGTGTGGCTTTGCTTGGTTAGACTGGCTAGCCTGTGCCATAGCCTGGTCTTCTTCAGGGCTCTTACTTTCCCTCATGTGTATAGTAGTTTATGGATAGGGGACGAAGTTGATTAGAGAGAGCTGCCGAGAAGGGTTTCTCTGAAGTTTTAGAACCTTGTTTTCCCCGCAGATACCTTCTGGGTTGGTGTGCTTGCACGCTGTGGGTTTCAGGAAGGTGTGTATTAGAAGGTTCAGAAGGTGGCCCTAGATATTCCTTCAGAGTGTTTAGAGAGGAGCATCAGGCTGGAGCAGAGATACCCCAAGAGGTCATAGCAGGGGCTCAGTAGATGTGAGATGGTGTTTTACAGGCTATACCATTGGGGGACAGGATAGAGAGTTAGTGGTGGATGAGCTGTCTTCGGGTGCCTTCTGTAACCACAGGAAGACCAGGGTGTGTGGGCTCTGTTGAGTGGCATTGTAGAAGGCCTGGGGACCGTAGGAGTAGAAGAAGCCCAGGCTTGACTAGAAGAAATACGAGGACCTGTGGGTTCCTGAGGAAATGCTGAGGACGTAGGTACGTTCTCAAAGTGATGATTTCCAACTTTGCCCGGGAGTCATGATATCCTGGGCAGTCTTTTTCAGGAGATTTACTGGCAGTTCATGTTGTTTTAAAGACATCCACTTCTGTCTGTTTCCAGCTAGCCTGGCTTGGAGCCCACGGACAGCCCTTGGAATGCATAGTCTCATCTGGCTGCTGTTGCAGGGATTATTTGAAGCAGGAGCAGAGTGAGAATTGAGGCAAGCTAGTAGGACAGTCACTTCCTGGTTCCTACTGCCATCATACACCCGTAAACACGTGAGGCCACACTGGGTCTATTTTGTCGGCATCTACACAACCTCCATCTGGCTTGGGTGTCCCCATCCCTAGACATTCTGTCCCTGCTCTGAAGATAGATGCCCTCAGCTAAACCAACTTTTCAGCCTCCAAGAGGTCCTGGGCTTTGGCTTCTATGTTGGTTAACAGTTCTCCGGCCTCTCATCCTTTGTCTGTAGGAAGGGTTTGTCTTTAAGGTGAGTTACTTAAGACTTCTCAGGCCAAAAACAAAAGCCAACTTGGAAGTCTCTGCAAAGAGAGCAAAGCCTTACTCTGAAGACGGGATCACCAACAATTGTGAACATCCATTTACTAACCTCTCAAATCTATTCTTTAAGGATTTGTAGGAAGCTGACCTCTGCAGTGGGAGACAGCCAGGGAGTGTGCAGTCTGCCCTGTTGGTCAAAGTGACTCAACTTTGGGGCGTTAAGATTTATATCATCTGGAGAAAACAAAAGAAATTTACAGGACAATCCTCTCTGGCCCCTCTTATAACCAATGAAGTGGAATGTAGTGGTTCCCAGTTAAACCCTTTGATGGTGTCTCCGCCTACTGGTGAATCCAAGCATTGCATCCCTCTTTGTATAACACTCCCCTTCACAAGTCAAGTTTCCACAAATGTCTCCTCCATTTTGTTGTACATCCTGGGATATTGCAACATTCCTTAGAAGAGATGCTGTATAAACTGTAATCTAGTCACAGGAATGACCGGAGAGTCCAGTGGGGATGCTGGCAGATCAGGGGGGACTGGACCTGGAGAGTGGAAAGTCGGCAGCTTTGGTTTTCTTCTCTCATCTGTGCAGCTTTTGGTGTTTGCTTTATTATTGATGTTTTCTAAACAGCCTTCGACCTCTCTATCAAACAGTCTCTACGGGGAAGACACTGTTACCCCAAGCTCTGCTTCTTGTTCCACTTGTGATCTACCACTACATATATGTGTGTGTGTGTATATACTATACCTATCTATATGTACTATATATCCTACCTATATCATATATATGTATATATACCCATTATATATATATACACACATACCCAACTTTTTTAAAATTTTGGACCTTCTGTAGCAGAGTCAAAACTTGGCCCTTGAGTCCTCTGACTTCAGACTCCCGAGTAGCTGGAATTACGGACCTGTGTTTCCAGGCCCACCTGAGGTCTTGGTTTTTAGCTAGAACACTCCCAGGATGCAGAGCCCTAGTGCTCGCCATCAGTGGCGCATCCACCCTTTTCTGGTGGTGAGGATCCCTTCGCAGTGACGTCACAGCCTGTTGCTTTTCCTTGCTTACACCTGCGTGTGAGCACTCCCCACTGGCTTCCCACACAGCAGCGCTCTCTCCTGTGGCATCACAGCCACTTGCTGGCTCTCTCCAAACCTCTTCAACCCCATTTTGGTACTGAGGGTACTTTTCACCTACTTCTAACTTCATTTCCATGTCTTAATACATTGTCTTAAATGCTATGGCCCCTTTTCTAAAGGAAGTCTTCCTCGCTTTCTTTTATCAAACATCTTAGCCAGTCTCCAGAGCCTTCCTAGCATATCCAGCGATAATGTGGGTGGACGGCAGGGTGGTTCCCGACATCTGGTCAGAATTCTCCGGTATCTACCCCTCTTTACCACGGTCACATTGTCCTGCTGCTCTGCTTACGCTGCCATGGACACCGCAGATCAGTTTTCCAAGGAAGCCCTGGGCGTGTGGAATTCATAGGCGGAGAAAAGGCTTGACTGATGGCAGCAAAAAGTGACACCTTCTCTCATTTTATATTCTTTCTTTCTATCTATCTATCTATCTATCTATCTATCTATCTATCTATCTATCTATCTCATTCTCTCTCTCATTTCAGACCAGCCTTTCGGAGGAACTGCACCTCGGGGTCCTGTGAGGCATGCTGGCGTGTGGGGCCCTGGAAGCCCTGTACAGCAGTCTGCGGCAGGGGCTTCCAGTCTCGCAAAGTCGACTGCATCCACGTGGGGAGCTGCAAACCCGTGGCTGACAGACATTGTGTGCGGATGAAACCAGCGCCCTGGAGGCACTGTCTGGGGCCTTCCTGTGACAGTACGTACCCCTCCCAGGTATCGCCAGCTCCCCAGAAGCCTTGTCAAAACCCAGACACTGATATGCCTACCTCCCCCCACGTCACATAGGAGGAATGGGGGCACAGGCAGCAGCACTGATTCTCAGGACAGCCCCTCCACACACATTTTCCTTAGCGGTCTCCTCGAAAACTGAGCCCGTGGGCTTGTATAGGTGAGCAAATGCTATAAAATTCCTTGTAACTTTTCTAGGGGGCAAGTATGAGGCTTTCTTAAGTTTTCCAAGTGGCCCATGGCCCTACAGAAAGTAAGCCCTACCCTCAGCGCTGAAAGAAGTGGGTCTGGGTCAGAGGACCCGTGGGGATCTCAGAGTGCCACGGGAAGCCGGTTGAGCAAGTGGAGAAGTGAGCCCACTGTGTTTCTGATAAATAATGCCAAGCAGTTGCCCCAGGCATACCTAGCTTCCTGCTCATTCCCTAGGGAACGGCATGCTATGGATGCTTTTCTCTTTTTTTGCAGGAAACTGCACCGACACCACTCACTACTGCATGTTCGTAAAGCACCTTAACTTGTGTTCTCTGGCTCTCTACAAACAAAGGTGCTGCCAGTCATGCCGAGAAGGATAAAGTTGGCAAGGTTGGCATGCTGATGTGTTGAGAAAGGAAAACTATAGAGGCTCTTTCCCCCTTGTCTCTGGTTCAAACCCTTCTTCAAGTTTCTAGAGTCTGTGGTCAAGCAGAGGTGGATTCAGAGACGGAATCCGCTACAGTTTTGTAAAGTTAGCGTTTCCAGTGGTTGTTTTTAATTCCGGTTCATACAAACAATGTATTCTAGGATTAGCAAAAATGCATCCGCAGCCATGTCCTTGCTTGTGGGAGCACGTCATCCCCTGTTGTGATTTGAAGACCGGACGAAAGTGGTCCACACGGAAGACTCTGCAGCTGCGTGTTTCTCTCCAGTTGCAGAGTGTCAGCACGCGTGGGTGACATTTACGATTTAAGGGCTCTGGCCAGTAGCTGTTCAGATGTTGGCACTAGTGGCATTTTTCTAGCTCCCTATGTTTATTACGTGAAGAAGAGGCACTCTCCCTTAACAGCTAATGACACCAGCCGAGCCAAGGATTCACCGCAGATGGCATCTCGTCCTCGCTCTTGGAGCATCCGTGGGGGAGAACACGGCGGACATGGCTGCCATTCTTCTAACTACAGAGATCTATCTGTGACCAAATGAGGCATCGAGATCAAAGGAGAGGAAAGGCTCAGCTTTTCTACTGATTTTGAAGTGTAGTCAAAGCTTTCTTTTCGGAGCTGTGAATGAAGCTTTGTCTGAGCACTATTTTCTTGCACATAGAGATCAGAGCCTGATCAGATGTAATTTATGCATACAGTGATATTCCTGATGATTTTTATTTTGCAAAGATTATAAGAAAGTAATCTAAATTAGAAACATGATAGTTGAAGGGATTGTTTATAGTAAATAATTGTTTAATTGGAGGTGACTTTGTAGGTAAATCTGACTCCATTAGGATTGGGCTTGAAACAACAATTTGGGGTTTGGGACCTGGAGTTGAAATTTGGGTTGTGCTTGGAAAGAATTCATCTTGGACCAGCACTCGGATTCAGAGAAAGGAAGTCACATTAGGGCTAAGACCAGAACTGATTTTAAGGTTTGGGCTAGTTTAGGACAGGGTTGGGTCTCTCGGGCCAATGTTGGTGTTCGTGACATTGAAATTGATTTTGCTGCTAAAGAAGGCTCGGCATTCATATTAAGTCCCAGCGCTGATTCAGCCAGGGGGACCTTTCCATAATATCTTACCAGTTACGGCTTTAGATGCTACAAACCCCAAACCAGTGGTCCTGCTTCTTTACTCAGTGTCCCCGACGACTCGTACACGTACTGCCCACAGCCTCCTGGCACGCAGCGCAACCTTTCCTGAGGCAGATTGTGTTTGGACCTACCTCCTGACCAACATGTGAACAGCGCACTGTGCCTTTGGGTCTACCTGTAGAGAGGCTCGCTGGACCTCTCCGCCATCCTCTGAGCACAGGCCTCTTCCGTTCCAGCTTCAGCCTCACTGACACTGGGATGGACGCTGCCGTAGGTGGAGGGTTTGGCTGTCTGGAACGGACAGGGCAAAGGAAAGCGTACCCCCCAGTCTGAGCTGTTAGTCACCAATCACATTTGATTGCTGAGCTTATTAAATTAAAAGAAAGATAGTTTGTAAAATACTCTGTATATATTTATTATATGACTCAAAGGTGCAATATTTTATTTTGTACAATATGTAATAAAGACATGGGACATATATTTTTCATATCTACAAAATTTCTTATTAAACTGCTTCACCTTTGTATTTAAGGTTAAAGTGAACCAACTTTCGGTTGTTATTGTACTTTCCTCTTGTTAACATCAAACGGCATTCCTGTGTACTGTATTTTACTACTGTTTTTATAACATGAGAGGTAATGTTTCCCTTTGGTGATCCTTAATTTAGAAATAAATTCACTTTGAGTATCCAGTGGCATCCTCAGGTGACTTCTCTGTGTTGTGCTTTTGCTAGACTTTGGAACTGTCTCCCTGCCTGTCCCCTTACAGGACAGTAGCTCCCTTAGCGAGTTTGACATCCTCGATTGCCCTTTGTATGCTACAAGATTGGGAGGTCATAGAAATTCACCCCGATTCCACAGCCAAGTCCTTCATGTCTTCTGAATCCTACTTTTAAAAATGGCGATAGTGAAGGTAGTGGAATCCCGGGATGGAGAGTGGGCAGGTACAGAGGTAGTGCTACATCCATAGACAGCGGGCACACTAACGCTCCTTTATTTATGTATTTGAAAGGCGTGTAGGCTCACAGCAAATTTGAGAAAGTACTGATTTCCAACACACGCCTTGTCTCAAAACACGAGTAAACCCGCTTCACTAGCAGTGTCCACTCTGCACCTCGGCATTTGCTGTAACTCCTGAATCTACACGGACACATCCTAACTGAAAGTCTGTCGTTATTTATAGTGTTTAATTATTTAATAAATTGTTAGATTCAATTTTCTAATATTTTGCTGAGGATTTTTGTGTTTGTTCTTATGAGAAATCCTGATGTGTGATTTTCTTATAATGTTTGTCTGGTTTGGGTGTTACGGTGACACTATAGCTTCTTAGAATGAGCTGAGGCATGTTGCCAAAAGTGTTTAAAGGTGTTCCAACCTTTGAAAAAGAGTATATATAATTGGAATAATTTCCTTCTTCAGTTTTTAGAAGATTTGACTGGTGAACAAATCTGTGTCTACTAGTGTCTGCTTTTGAAGATGTTTGGGTTTGTTTTTTCCAACTTCTAGATTGGCTTATTCAGATTGTCCATTTCTTCTGACATGAATGTTTGCTTCTTGTCTGCAAGAGTTCTGAAGAAAAGTTCAGTGTAACTCTCATCTGTATTCCTCTGTAGGGAAGGTGGGCTTTTTCTTTCAGTATTTTTATCCTTAGGTTTTTTTTTTCAAAACTTGAAGATTATACAGGTAAGTCTGTTTGGATTTATTTGGTTTGTTTTTTCAAGATTTACTTTTTGTGTGTGAACGTTTGCCTGCATGTGTGTCTTTGTACCACACGTGTATCTGATGCCTGTGGAGGCCAGCAGAGGGCACTGTTCCCGGGAACTGGAATTAAAGGTAGTTACGACCAACCGACCAGCCGTGTATGTGCTGGGAACCAAGCTGAATCCTTATGCCAGAGCAAGAAGTGCTCTTAACCACCAAGCCGTCTCTACAGCACCAAGGTGAAGTTCAAGCTGGCCTTGGTGTGTGGCCCTCCTGTCTCTGGCTCTTCAGCATATCCCTCCAGCCTGCCCTACCACACCCGGCTATCACTTTTCGCCTGTCTTATCCTTGGTGTTGTCTGGGGATCTCCTGAGACTGTGGTACGGTACAGTACTTCATATTCATTTGGAGACATTCTCAACCATTACTGTTCTAGGTCGTTCTTCACCTCTTTTGCCTCCTCTGCAGTTAAGTCACTGCTCTTGGGAATTCACTTCTAAAGGATTTTTCTTTGTTCTCAGTTCCTTGGCTTTGAGAAGAGGTTGTCAAGCTGAGAGAGTCCTCAGCTGAATCCACTTATCCACTTTCCTAATGAGCCCACCAAGGGCTTTCTTCATTTTTGTTAGTGCTTCTGTTTTGTTGTTTTGGTTTTTAAAAAAAATTCCTAGTGTTTCTGTCAGGTCCACAGGACACTTCATCTTCTCCTGCCCCTTCACCTCACAAAGGGCAAGCCCACTGACTTGGTCCAAAATTGCATCTAGGCCCAGCTCAACCTGGACTATAGGGAGATTTCTGATGCTTAAAAAAAGGCAGAATTCCTCAGGAACTTGTGAACCAGTTCACATCTGCCAAAGTGAGCCATTTTCCTTTACCTCTGACAGGGGTACACATTGACATTGACATATACTTGTGCCTACATATCAAAGACCACCCTGGCCTCCAATCTCCCCCAGTCCCTATTTACAAGTACTTGACATACATTTCAAAGCCCTTACCCTAACTAACATCCTAGACTTTCTCACCTAAGATCCCTGCTCTCTTTATATCTCCTGCCTAGCCCTATTCCTGATATTCTCATTATTCTCTCTCTCTCTCTCTCTCTCTCTCTCTCTCTCTCTCTCTCTCTCTCTCTCTCTCTCTCTCTCTCATCCTGTTCTCCCCCCCTATTCTCCTCTCTCTTGCAGAAAGCCCTGTCCCTGTCCAGTCTGTCAGCCATGCTCAGCCTATTTATTTCTCTCTTTGCTCTGGACATTTTTTTTTTCCTCTTTTGGCTACAATAAAAACCTGTCGTCTAACCATACAATGGAGCGTTCATGTCAGGAGTTCCTTCACTGTGCCCCTCATGTAAAGATCCTTTGTGGTTCTTTCTTAGAACGCTAATCTCTCTGCTTCCTTGTCTACCTGTTCTTGCTTGATACTGCTGACATCATTATAGGCACAGATTTTTTATTAAAAAATTTAATATTTCTGTCATGTCTTACATGTCTAATTCTTGCTCTGATTTTTCAAATGGTGGGTTTCAAAAATCATTTAGTGTGACCTTCCAGATAAAAAGGACCTGCTACCTTCAGTCATCACTAACATAATTCAGTAGCAGCCCGGTGGTGACTTTGTGCTGCTCAACTGTATACCTCGTGTGTTTCTGAAATTGTTGGGTTGTTTTGTTCGTTTGCTTTTGTTGTTGTTTCTCTCATCAGAATGGGTCTGGACAGCTAATGTGAGGGAGACCTCAGATTTCCCTGTAGGCAAGCCTTTGAGACATTTTCTTACTGGTTCATGTGTCGTGTGAGGGCCCAGCTCACTGCTGGGGATGCCACTCTTGGGAAGGTGGCCCTGGATGGTTTAGGAAAGCAGGCTGAATCAAGCCAGTAAAACAGCACTCCTTCACGGCCTCTGCTTCAGTTCCTTCCTCCAGGTTCCTGCAATGTGTTCCTTCTGTGACGTACAGCCATCAAATGAGACCTGAGAGTTACAAGGCATTTTTGCTTCTTTTTTTCTTAAGATTTTTTTTTTTTGTCCTTTGTCTGCATGTATGGCTACAGGCAAGACATTCTACAGGCAAGGCATTCTAATTGTGATCTGCCACGTGATTGCTTGGAATTGAACTCAGGACCTCTGGAAGAGCAGCAGCCAGTGCTCTTAATCGCTGAGCCGTTGCTCCAACCTGACATTTTTGCTTTATCATGATTTATTTCATGTGAATGTGGCTTTGCCTGTGTGTATAGATGTGGACCATATACATGCCTAAAAAAGGCCAGAAGAGGTTGTTGTATCTCCTGGAAACGCGATTAGATTGGCTATAAACCACCAGGTGGGAATTAGATCCTCTGGGAGAACAAGTGCTCTTAACCACTGAGCAATGTCTCCAGTCCCTGTGTCATTTTCTTGATTTTATTGATTGCTATGGGAGGTTCCTTCCCATTGTAGGACCCCTGGGTAAGTAGTTCTAGGCTTTATAAGAATGTAGATTAAGAAAACCATAAAGAGCAAGCCAGTAGACAGTAATCCTCCACGATCTCTGCTTCTCTTCATACTTCTAGGTCCCTAAGTCAGCAAACATCCCTTTGGGGTGGACTATAAGACATAACGTGAAATAAACCCCTTTCTCCTCCATTTTCTGTTGGTCATGGCGTTTATCACAGCAACAAAAAGCAAATTAGAACAGAAACTGTTACTCAAAACACATGGTATTGATGCAACAGAACTGGCCATGACTTTGGAACGCTGGGCTGGAAAAGCCACTGAGTGTTCAAAGTTTAATGGACTGTTCTGGAGGATCTTGGAAGATAAGAGTGTTAAGTCGGATGATGGAGTCCTGGTTTGTGAAGTTGCAGAGGGAAGTAAAGACTGTCAGGACTATTTGTCTAATGTATTTTGATTAAAAATCTCTAGCTTCTGGGTCAGGTGGGATGAAGAATTAGCTTTGGTTAATAAGAGAGATTAGCATCACTGAGGTGAAGTCTTCAAAGTCTTCTCTTAGCGTCAGCACAAGAAGTCCACAGAAGTCCAAGGCGGCCTCTCAAGTTGGCTGCTGAACTTGGTATTGTGTAATAGTGCTTGCACATGGTGCTGGTTTGGGCACACAGAAGCTGCAAAGCTAAAGCGGTCATGGAGAACAGTTGGGCTTGGCCTTGTGCGAGCCCACGCGAGACCATTGGCCAAGATGAAGCCTCTGGAGCAGTGGAAGCTCCAGAATCAAAGGAATCCTGGAGAAAGGCTGAGCTTCAGCATCATGTGGCAGGTTTGGAGTCCTAGTATAGAGGCCAGGAGGCCACTGATGAAAGTGAAACAGCACAAGAAACCCCAGTATATTGGAGATGTAGGAACACACAGGTGTGACCAAGGATAGCAGCAGGTAAGGAGTGGAGCTGGCCTGATCCAACGAGACCAGCAGGGTATGGTGCAGATGATAAACAGAGAGGTGGAGTTGCCCATGCCCTTTGGAGCCCAGAAAATCAGGAGTGAGTTCATGACATTGAGTACCAAGCTACTTATACTGATGGGTGTTGGTTTTGCTTTGATTTCATTGTAACTGTGTCTTGGGTCTTCCCTTTTGGAATAAAAAAAAAATATTTAACAGGAGACAATAGTTGAGAGACTTTGAATTTTTAAAGAGATGACTATTTTAAAGACACCATTTGAATTTTTTAAAAAAGATAGTGTCACTTTTGAAGCTGTTCTAAGTTTTATATTGTGATAGTAACATGAGATCTTGGGAATGAACAAGAAATGACTGGTTATAGTTTAATAGTTTGCTAGTGATGTAGTTATGTGACATATTGACAAGGGTTCAGCTTTGCCGATTAGTTTATTTTTTTCATATGGTGTGTTTTAGTCATATTATTTCCCTGTCCTAACTCCTCCCAGATCCTCCCCATCCAACTTCATGTTCATGTTTGCCCATTCTCCCTTCTCTCTCTCAAACAAAGGAGGAAAGAGAACAAAAAACAGAGAAAGAAAGAAGCAAAGGAAGGAAGGAAGGAAGGAAGGAAGGAAGGAAGGAAGGAAGGAAGGAAGGAAGGAAGGAAGGAAGGAAGGAAGGAAGGAAGACCAAACCAGTACTACAAAAAATGTGTGGTTAGTTTTTTATCAGCATAGCACAAACTAGAGACATAGAGGGAGAGGGAATCTCAGTGGAGGAAATGCTCCCATCAGATTGGCCTCTAGGCGCATCTGTGAGCATTGTCTTAATTAACAGTTGACAAGGCAGGGTCTAGTCTACTATGGTAGTGCCGCCCTATGGTCTAGGGCTGCATAGGAAAGTAGGCGAGCAAGCCATGGAGAGCCAGTAAGTAATACTCCTCCGTGGCTTCTCCTTCAGTTTCTGCCTGCTAGTTCCTGCTTTGGGTGCAGGAACTCAAATGAATTCCCTTCATGACAGACTGTAAGTGGTATAGTCTGTCCTCTCTGGGAGTTGCTTTCAGTGCCTCCCAAGTTGCTTTTGGTCATGGTCTTTATGACAGCAATAGAAAGCAAATTAGGATATGGTCCCTGCCATTTTTCTTCATCCTCATTTCTTCAACTTAGCTGGCACTCGTTAAGGAAGATGTGCCTGACTCCCAGTTGAATGTCTTAGGTTATGATCTGCCCCAATTTCTATTTTCACATCTATTATATTAGGTTACAGTTGACAAAACAGTATGTCATTGTGTCCTTAGCCTAAGGAAGACTGCTTCAGAAAATACCAGTAGCTACTTCTTAAGGATGACCTTTGTTCAGAGATGAGACCAACCCCATCAAATTACAGAGGGATCTGAATATTAAACATAGGAGCTAGAGTGAAGAGAATGGTGTCCACTATCCAATTTAAAATTTTGATTGTTATAATAATATTTTCTATTTTAAAATAGTGGGTATCTACTTATGTATACGTTTATCTAACTAGGAATTTATTTGGAAGTTCTATCTCAAATAAAATAATACAGAAATGACTTCATGAAGATCAATCCATTTATTAATTACACATAAAAAGTTTTTCAGATATTATACATTTATAATAAATGCAAATATGGAGAATGCCTTTCAAATAATTAGAACTATTGAATAAAATACTATGAATTCATCCTCAGTATATATTCTTAAACAACCATGAAAACATTAAATTCATTTTAAAGTCAATCTTGTTCTTCCATATACAATCATTTATTAAAATAATCACTTGATCTTATTTCACTGGAACCTTTCAGCATTTATAACTGTAGTATGCTATTTCCATGTCCCTTAGTGGCATCTCTTCCCCTTCCTTCTTCACACCTATCTGTATACTTTCAGTGGTGAACAAGGTAGTTACAGCTCGTGCTAGTGACCAGTGATTCTTGGTGTGGCCACTGGGTGCACAGGTACCAAGGTTTCTCCTGAAGATCTTCTCAGAGCTGGAAGGCTTCCCGAAAACTGCTCTAGCAAATAGTTTTCTCTTTGAAAATACAGCCATTCACAACAAAGCATTTAATCTAAGTTCTCTATTCTCTGCCATTACTTACAGGGTTCTTGTGACTCTACAGTGGGCAGATGCCTCTCACAAATACATATTACTCATAAACTCAGAGGTTGCTGTAGACCAGATAATGAGTATTAAGTCTATAACTCTCCTTATTTAAAAAGGAAAAAGTAAGTACAAAAGGTAGTTGAGGATTAGTTAATCACCCCTTCACATTTGTGTCTTATGCATTCAAATGTATTGCATGACTCAATGTTCCCAACGGACTTTTGTGAGGTAGGCAGAACTAATATTCTTTACATATGAATCACAGAGGAGAGGTATCAGCTTGCTTACAGTGGCACAAATAGAAACTGATGATCTTAGTACTTGAACTCTGGTCCTCTGATTTCCAGTCCAGAGGGCCTTTCCTTTTCAAAGAACAATGCCTCTAGCTATGTTGAATAGGCAAGGAGCAGAGCAGAAGTCTCTGACATTACCAACCAATGTTGGTTATGACATTACTAGACCAATGACTTGGTCTAGGCTCTGTAAATAGGTTGAAGTTAAAATGAAAAATAATAATGAATGAATGAATGAATGAGTAAATCCTAGACTTTTTTGGAAGTGCAATCCATATCTCATCTTCAATTTTGTTCTAGACAGTCCCAATGTACTTGATACATGACAAAGAGAGTAGCTGTAGCATTGTGTAACTAGAGAAAAACGTAAAAATGGCAACAGACGGAGGACAAGCTACACGCCAGCATGTGGAGGTGAGCATGCGCATCACTGAACCTTCAGAAATGTTCACTAAAGAACGATCTTGGATCAGGAGCCTGACAGAGGGAGCCTGCAAGTCCCAGGCTAGCCTGGAGAGACTAGGGAGGCCCCAGCTCAAAACACAAAACACAAGAGCGACAATGAGTATTCTTGGTTAAACTATTAGTACAAAAATGGATGTGTGAATTCTGATCTATATGTCCCAACTTGTTTAAAAAGCTAAAAATAATATATCTCTTAAAATATTTTTCACTATAAAATTTAGGTTTTCACTTAAAAACTGAACTCTCATTAGCATTCTTATAAAAATTATTTGATTCCTAAAAGGCCTTCACTGCAGGAATGATCTTGCGAAAGAACTTATGTCCTTGGGAATTTGTATTTTCAAATACATAACCTGGAGGAGAAGGATAGCTAGCCGGGCAGATTTCCTGTTTCTTCGGTGTGTACTGTATGGAATACATGGTGACATCATCAAGTGGAACCGAGCTCTTCACGGTGGCATTTAAAGGTTTGCACCTCTCCACTGGGATCAACTCATGGGGCACAAAGTGAGATCGGAAAGTGGTCAAACCATCAAATTTCCCAGATGGGTTGGGAATCTGTTGCTGCTGCTTAATAAGCCCTTGACGACAACTTTCCCACGCTTGGAAATCTTCCTTCATGGTGGTTTTTCCTTGGAAAGGAAAATTGCTTTTTCTTCTGTGAGAAACCGGCCTGATGGCAGCAACACGGCTGGCCTGATAGGGAACATAGTCCAGGTGGCTGGTGCTGTCTAGCTGCATGCTTCCTTGAGGGGGCACATACTCGGCTACTTCCTTGACTTTGGGTGGTGGGATTTCCCATGGTTGGAAACTGTCGCGGAATTCAGTGCTCCCACGGAACGGAGCATTTTGGGTTACTCTGTTGTAGGCAGGTCTGCAGATTTTTGCAGTTTCTCCAGTAAAGCCCTGAAAGTCATTCCGGTGTGTGGTGAGATCCTCAAAAGGCTGCTCAGTAGGCTTATAAACTTCTTTTGGTCTTTCAAACTTGACTTCAAGCTGATGAGGTACGTAATCTCGGCGATGACTTGTATCACCATCAAAGGGGCCTACGGAACACTTGACCGCAGAGCAGGGCTTAAAGCTTTGCCTTGGCTTTATCTCCCGGGGAACATAGTCATCCTGAAATGTAGTTGAGTTTCCGAATTTCACGTCTGGGGGATGGTAAGTTTGCTCTGGTTTACACAGTTCACATTTCTGAATCTCCCAAGATCTATAATCATCTTGAAAATGAGACCAAACAAAACATTTGTTAAGTACCGAGGAAAAGATCTTTCTTCAAGGAATCCTGACTCGTTTCTCTCACCGCCAATCATCCTCTGATTTCTTTTAGATACATAAAGACTGGCACAAGCTATGATGTTCCCCCATGTTTGTTCTTTTTGTTTCTTTTCTGTCTTTTTCTATGCAGCTCCCTCTTGAGGACAGTTCATTTTCTACTTCCAGTAGATGTCTGATTACACACAAGGGCATATGGTACGCATGACCCTGAGTGTGGACAGAAAGTTAAGCAGACTGTGTTGTGGGTGAAGACAGTGTAAAATGTACTGGCAAGCATTTTCACTACAGCTCACAAAATACTAAGGTCAGCTGTAAGATTCAGGGCTTGAGAAGCCTCAAAGAGGAAGAAGTCAATGTCTTGATTATGCATCTCATGAGACAGATAAGTTTGCAAGACCAAAATTTGATCAACTTTTTAAGTATCTTAAGTATTTTAAAACTCACCGGATGACCTCCAGGATCCTATTAGTAAAAATTAAAAATCCTATGAAGAAGGAAAAATTTCAAATTTCAATTTGATTCTGATCAAAGACGCAAGATTCCATCGATTATTGGGCTTTAAGACAGTCCCAAAAGATACAGTATCATCTAGCGACCAGGAGCCCAAACTGAGTATGTTTGAAACTATGTGCAATTTAGAAGTGAACATTAGGGCTGAGAGTTAGAAGTCCAAAACCTACAGCTTGCTTAAAGCATAGATGGAAAGTGGAAGTGCTTATATTTCCGTGAGGGCTTCTTTGTGTAATCTATCTCTAGACAGAAAAGTAGTAAGCTGAGCAATGTGGTAAAATTTCCTTCACCACACAGTCTTTTAGAACACCGAGCATTAATTTCTAAGTGACAAGTATTTTACATACTAGATAATGCAGTAAGCTAAGAAATATAAAATTTACTTCATCCAGAACATTTTAAAATATCAAAAGTTAATTTATAAAAGGCAAGTATTTTATACATAAAGTAAGAGACTAGAGTATGAACCAGAGCCTAGGGAATGACAACTGAAATAGTTCAGCCTTGACTGCTTACTATGTGGCTATCAACTGGGAAGAAAAAAGCCCGCATTCATAGGCATTCCTGCTTAGTTTTAAAGTAAATATTTAAGCTGCTGATGTTTAGTGAGTGAAAGCCCAGTCAAAGAGCAGACAATCTTTAAGTTACCAGACTCAATGAAGCCAAATGAACTAGACCAGTGTTGTGAGCCTAACGTTGAAAATCAAGAGCCAGGTGGAAGAACACAAAAGAATGGCATGAGGTGGGGCTGCAGACTGAGGGCAGACGGGAGCCATATACTCAAAGACTCTTACAGAAACAAGACACAGGTAGCCGGAGAAGCCGGTCGGGAGGACAGCAACAAGAGAAGGGGGATGAATGAAGCAAGATGCTGCGAGTGAGATCATGGACACCTTAGCCGGCGCGCTTCTCTCCAGCTCTCTCTGGACCTGCCAGCTTTCCATTTCCAGTCCACAGGAAGCCTTACTAGGGATCTTTATTCTTGAGCTACTCTGTTCTTTAGAAACTGCAGTATAAAATGATAGCATTGTTTTTGCAGTAACTAAAGGGAAATCAGAGGTGTTAGTGAAGATCCATAGTTTCACAGTTACTGCCAAAGAGACTATGAGAAAGAAACAATGACTGTGTAAATGAGTCGAAGAAAATATATCCCCGTACCAGAGCAACTTGGGCTTTCATAAAGGAAAGAAGAACCTGGAGGTTGAGAGACAAGTCTTGATAGTATGAAGCAGGCTAAGGCCGACTTCATTTTAAGTTTCCAATCTCAGGGACAGGATCACCACAGAGCAGGTGTTGGCAAGTGTTTTGATGTAATGACCAAATAGGACATGTCTTGGGCTTAAACACAAGTCTCTAAATGTGGAGTGCCTACTGGAAATGCACAATCCTGCCAATGTCCAGAATGCAGCAATAGGTAGTATGGAAAAGAACTGGTGTGTCAATTGAGTTCTGTTTACAAAAAGAAAATGGTGGGCTACACTTGCCCACAGGCCAGTTTGTTTTCCCTTGCTTTAAAATGTATAATACAAATTTTTCACAAATCATAGTTCTTTGAGTGATATGGTTCTGATTTACATATGCAGTTTTGCACCTTACTGATGGGGACATAGAGAGCTGCACCTTTACAGTTCTTTTGCTATGGAATATTGGCATTCCATGGTGTCTTTTTCCTCCTATGACATCATCTTAGTGGACTACGGTTGTAAAAGCAGTCTTCTGTTGACTGCATTGTTACATATCACGTGACTGAGGAATAACAACTAAGGTATAGCACATTTCCAATTCTTACCTCTTTTACTTATATAATTGGTTTAAAAAAACAAGTCAAAATTGATAGCATTTTTGCTCCAGAAAAACATGATATTGTCATTGCACCTATTTCTGGGAACTTTTTTCTCTTTATGAAGACCAAGTTTCTGTTGCTTCGTATTCCATTTACCTGAAGAATTTCTCTTAAAATTGCACATGACATCTACTGATAATTCTTTGCTTGTCTGAAAAAAAAAAGACTTTATGAAAGATATTTTCACCAAGGGTTGATATGGTTGGCAGACTCCCTGTGTCCTAGCCTTCAGCTTTTTCAAGATGCAACTCCACTATCTTTTGGTTTCCATGGTCCTAGTTCTCACTCTTCTTTTTCATTGTTTTTGAGACAACGTTTCATGTAGCTCAGGCTGGCCATCAACTCTCTGTGTGGCCAAGGATGTCTTTACCTTTTGATCATTGTGCCTCTACTCACCAAGTACCAGGGTTAAGGTGTGTGCCGCTATGCCTGGATTAATAAAGTGTCTCTCATATTAGTCAGTCTGTATGTTTCTACATGACGTTTTAAATTATAAAAGTAACCTTCTTGGGGGTTTTAAAGCTTTCTTGGTTAATATTTTGATGTTACTCATTATTGATGGAAAAATATTCCCTTAAATCTTCAGATAATTCATTTTCTTTTCCATCTTCTGGTGTTCTAAGTGATGTATGTCCGGCCTACTTTCAAATGTTCTACAGTTTTGGGCACTTCATGTTGTTTCCCCTCCTTACAGTTTGTTTATATTGATTTATCTGAAGTCCACTGCTCCTCTCCCTCCCTGGGTGTACTCGTATCTACTGAAATCCTATGTAAGCCATTGTCATCTCTATTAATTTTTTATCCTTTTTGTAGTTTCCGTATCTTGGCTAATTTTTCCACTTGTTTCTGACCATCAGTCATAATTTTTTGGTTCCCTGGTAGATCCACTATCTGACTCCTTCCTGGACTGAGTTTTCCTTTAGTCTCATGACAATGTCTTCCTTTCCCCCCTTTACCTCTCCCTTTTTACAATTTGAAAAAACAGACATCATAAATGAATCCATGTTCATTTGCCAGAGCTTTATTGAGTGCAGTTTGGTTCAATCCACAATTGAGTTTGGCTCTCTCTGTTGCTATGCTTACCTTCAGCGGACCAGCAGAGTGTCTTTGGTATGACTCCTGTGTTCAGGTTGGAGGCTGGTTTGCAGGGAGGTTTTTTATCCATCTATTCCATCTTTAGCTTTCTACACTTCAGGAAATGTGTCTCTCCATATCCTGACCTTTTCCAACAGTGACTGGGTTTCTGTGTGCACATGGAAGGGTATCTGTTGTCCTTCTCCAGATCGGTCTTCCTTGTACCACAGAGGCAGAGCATTGCTATGCTCCTGTTCTTTATAGTAGATCTCCAGTGGTTAGTTCCGGGACAGCTCTTCTTACATGTTAAGAAGCTTCTTTTGCTTATTTGGTTGATATCCCTGGGGGGCCCTGCCCTTTTCTGAAGGGAAACAGAGAAGTGAATCTGGGACAGAGTGGGGGAGAAGGGACTGGGAGGAGAGGAGGGTAACTATGGTTGGGATGTAATAAATGAGAGAAATATTACATTTTTTTTGTTTACTTTCTTTTGTCTCCAAGCTGTAACATTCACTTTGCATTGATGACTCTTCTGGTTTTGCTCTGTTAGTGGACTTGTGATCTCAGCTTCCTGAGGGATTCATGACCAGTTATGATTCTACATATTACCTACTTAAGTTTTCCGTGTTTGGTTGCAAACACTCTCTTCGGTTTTCTGTATCTTACTCAGAAGTTGGAAATCCCAGATAATTCTTTATCAATTCAAATTACACCTGCAATTCTTCAAATTCAGTTTCTGTAACAGATATCTATTTGAACTTTATTTCTTAAGTTAACTTGGTGAATTATCTTTTTCAAAGAATTTCCATAATTTATGTAAATAGAAATTCTTGACATCAGATTTTAAATCTCTTGTATGATGAACCACTCTTAAATATTTAAATATAAAGCAAAGAATGAGCCAGCTAGGCTTGAACATGTCACTATTAGCTTTCCCTCATATGTTCCCCATCCCGCATAACTTATTCCCTACATTCTTTTGAATTAGTACAGGTTTTTGTTATCCCATCTTTATTAGAATTCTGCTAATCCTTTATGCATTTTAAATAACAATGCTTCATTTATACTCCTATGCAGAGGAGTACAAAGTTATTTTTCTTACAACAAGGGTTCTCTTTTATCTTTTGATAATATCCAACAGAATAGATGAGAACAGATCTTTGTTTTCATCTGCATGTTCCTATCTTAGTGACTCTGAGAATCTTTTCTTTTTCATGCACTCGTTGATCATTGTGTCTTCTTTGGAAGAATGTTTATTCAGATTCAAGGGTCTTTCTTAAATAAGATTTGTTTTGTACTAAACTCTGAGTTCCTTATATATTTTGGATATTGGCCCCTTATCTGAGATATGGTTTGCAAATACATAGGTTGCCATTTCACTTCTTGTTGCAGTTTTTAGTTTTATGTAATCCCAGTTATGTGTTTTTGCTTTTGTTGTCTGTGCTTTTGGCATCCTATCTGAAACAAATCCCAAAGTCAGTATTTCTTCTTGGAGATTTACAATTTTAGGTCTTATATTTGTGTCTTTCCTCTGCTTTAACTTGTGTGTGGTACAAAGACCCATTTTATTATTTTTGTATGGGGCTTATCCAATTTTCCCAATACAAATTATTGAAGAGATAATTTTTTTCTACATTGTGTATCTATAGCTCCCTTGTTGAAGATTAATTAGCTGTATATGCTAATATATATTCTTGAGCCCTTGATTCTGTTCCATGGGTCTGTGTGTTCATTTTCTTGTTATTAGCATACTAATTATGGAAGCCTTGTAATAATTAGAAATCAGGAAATATTATACCACAGACTTTGTTCTTTATCCAAACTGTTTTGTCTATTAGTTATTTTGGTGTCATATAAATTTTAGAATTGTTTTGGCTATTTCTGAGAAAATGTCACTGGAATTTTGACAGTGATTGCATTCAATCTGTAGACTGTTTTGGTATCACAGACATTTCAATACTATTTATCCCAATCCATGGATACAAAAGAGCTTTCCGCTTCTTTCAATTTGTATTTTATAGTTTTTGATGTACAGATTTTTACTTCCTTATATTGGCAATAAAATTTCTGAATGTCAGTAATAACTCTCCAGTCTATATCTTTGTATTCTCTACAATAAGCACAGGGCAGAGTGAGTTCCAAGACCTTTGTCAAATCACAGCAATCTATTTTTAGCATCTACATTTTAATATGAACGAATTTCTACGCTGAGGACAGACACATGTCTTTCTTGCTGCAAGCTAGACTTGCAGGGGTCGGCCCTTTCTGCTGCCACCTAGACTTCTAGGTCAGAAGAGGTGGAGATGCTTATCTGTTCCAAATGACAGTACCAAGAATCATCTGCTCCTCGATCAAAGCTTCATCCTCTAATCTAGCCTTTAGAGTATAAAAGCAATATTCTGCTTGTTAATCTACTGATTCATTAGTTTTACAGACTGGTCTGGGATTTGTGTCATGAGGACAGTTGCTATTTTGTCTTTTCAACAACTCCAACTTTCTCTGCGGAATCTCAGCTCATTGTCGGATAGGAAAGGGTGCCAAAGACAGCACTAAGTGGCACAAAGGGACAAGTGCAGCCTACACCCTTGGCCAGTGCAGTCCTTTTCTTTTAAGATGCTCTGAGACACAGACCACATAGGGGAGAAATGTGGAGGAGAGTCCAGGACTCCTGATTCCCCAGGAGGCAGCGTGTTCGCTTGTGACTGGGTTTTGCTAACAATACTATTTTGGTCAGAGCGAAGAATGCTTTTTCCTAGCTGGTGGCTAAGTACAATAGTACAAGAAAATGATGAGGTGACTGTAAAGGTCAAAGCTGGAAGTTTTAGGTGTGGGGCACCTCTGTTTTTACAATGACAAGTTACCTTTGTAAGTTGGGATAGTGTCCAGCTTTCCCTTTTTAGTTGGTTGTCTTTCCACAGGCCGGACTTTTAGCACAGGCTGCACTTTGAACGGATTAAAATCTCGCTGGTAGGTAGTACCAAGATCAATTTTCCCCTGTTTAGGTTTATATTCTTCTGGTATGTGGCGAGGTGGTTTGACTATTTCGTAAGGCCGATAATCTGACCTGAAATATACATACATGTGTGTGTGTGAAACATAGCTTCCCTGGTTATTCTGTTTTGATTATTACAGTACTGAAATCTTCAATTTTGTCTTACTTGAATAATTTAAGGAGATATTAAAATGGTAATAGTTGATTATTTGAAAGAAGCAATTAAATTGTTTTATAAGACTCTATCCAATGACAAGAAAAGACACAAAAAAATCCTAGTTTTTAAAAACTGAAACATCTCAATTTGATCTTGTGAGTAAAATTCTCAAGTAACTTCATTTTATTTATTTTTATCTAATGTAGAAAAGAAAGATTTGATGAGCTGATAGATTTGTTAAGACTAACTCTGTACCCAACTTGTTAAAAACCACCTTCGCCAACACAGACTATACTTAGGCACAGTGACTTCCTAGGGAAGCTACAATATCTTCCTGTACATTGTTAGACTCATAGCACAGATATGAGTCTTGCTCAGATTCTCGATCTCTCAGAAGCCCTGCCATGGAAGGGGATGAAATGGGAACCCGGCCCTGCTGTGCATCATCTGACACTATTGCGACAGAGGCGGCACTGCGGGCTGGGACAGTCCAACGGAACGGAGAAAACCAGAGTCAAGGCTCACCAGACTGCCCGAATCCACACCCTAGTTCTGTCATTCATTAGCGTCATAACCTTGGATAAGTTGGTTAACCTGTCTATGCCTTAGTTTCTTATAAAGTTGGACAACATTATCATGTCCATCATAGTTGTTTTAAAGATACACACTGTCAATTCTGACAGTCACCTGAGCTACAGTTATGCTGTCAAGATCAAACATCTCACACAGTCACACAGTCTCTTCCTGTATTCTAGAAACACACGGTATAGAATGACACTTATTGTTTGTAGAGATAAATCACCCTTCAGTTTTCTAGTCAATATGATCAATGTGGGCGAATCCTGCGAGAGTTCTAAGCCCTGCTTAGAGGAATGTTGGGTACCTACTCTAGGAAACGGGTATTGTACTAGGTTCCTGAGGATGAAATGCTGAGAAAACAACAGATGTACGTCCTGCTGGTGCAGAACACTGTGTTACAAGAGGGATATTTCCTTGGCCTCAAAGGCTGAATTAAAAAGGTAGGATGGCAGAGATGATATTTACAAAGGAAAACTGAGCTGCTATTTCCAGATTGGATGAGTATCAGCTAGGGGAAGAGGGAGAATTCCAAACAGGAAAAACAAACTAGAGAAGCAAGCAGGGCTTGATAATCCACGTAGCAGTTATGGAAGGGACTGAGTCTGTGCTAAACAACAGAGATGTTTTAAAGTATTTCAGGCAGGATTATGACAAGATTAAATTTTCATGCTTAAAAAGTTGCCTTGGCAGGTTAATATATTAGATACCAATCAGAGATGCAAAAACTAGAACACATACATAGACATACCCACACATACACATGCTTGCATGCACATGTATGAGGGCAAACACACACACATTAGGAAGAACAGGTATTCCTCTAGATGGTGGTAACAGTGTGAATTACATAAATATGGGATATTTTAGGCAATTAAAAATCAATAAAACCTCATTTTCCCTTTCCTTCTCTTTGCCAAATTAACTTAATTTCTACCTGTTTTTCTCAAGTTCTGATTCACTTTTTGCTTCTCAAGTTAGTTCAACTTAATTCAACTAGATAGTTAAATTAAAATAGTAAGAAAGCTTTATTAAGGCCAGAAAAGTTGAGCAAAAAATAAGGAAACAATTTCTCAATATTTACTTAAATGTAGTTACTCCTTCCATTTTACCACGGTATGCTTGAAATTCTTGCTTGGGTTTAAGACTCTGAGGTGGAAGAACGTTGCCATATTTTGGATATTTTTCCAGATACTCCGTTGTGGGGCAAGATATGCCAGAATGTTCATAAACCCTTGTGGCTCCATGTGGACAACGATGCCGTCTGTACAAACAAATCAACAGAAACTTTATTTTGCCTTACAAGCATCTTGTGTGGTTACTGCATGATAACCGGATCCCAGTGACCTCACCTCTTTGAACTTTAGCACAGCTTACCGGTACCTCTGCATAGAAGCTTGTAAAAATAATAAGCAAATTACAGTGTAGCCTTATGCAGCATAAACTGGCTTTGCTCATAATACTTTAGTGACTTTTTACGCTACTGAAGTAGAAAAGCTAACAAGGGAATTTTCTAGATGCCTGGCAGACAAGCTTTCTGTTTTGGTTTCACCTATGACAGACACTTAGAGGCGGCTCCGATTCAGAACATAGCTACGAAATGAAGGAGGCAGAGCACAGCTTCCACTTTTGGTAGTGGAGGGGGGGGGGGCGGGCGTGGGATATAGCAGAGGCCGAGAGATTAGAGCCAGGAGATGTTAGGCAGCATCCTGATTACACATCTTTCTTCCACGTGTCTAAGATGCTTTAAAGTCAGGAGAGTCCAGAGACTCGGCAAGGCTCACTGAAAAGGAGGCTGCTGTGAAGTTCTGAGTGACTTTGTTCCACGCAGGGACTAGGAAAATCCAGGAGCATAGTACACAGGTCAGGTACACGTAAAAGTTCTGATAGAGCTGCACGGATTAGCAAGACACCAGTCAGAGTTCTGGGATTTGTTTTTACTGTCCATCAAAGTGCTGCCTTCACACTGCAACATACCAAAGACTGTGGGTGGACATGAGACAAAAAAGTACAGACAAATTATACAGAAAGCAAAAGCCTCCTAGTCGAGCATTTGCAATCCTTAAAAGGAAATTTTCTTCCTTCTGCTTTATAGTTTCGCTGTTAGTTATAGCTGCTTACAGTTGTTAAATCTTCCTGCTTTTTTGAAGAGGCAGCTCATAGAAATGATGAAATTGTCCAGGCGTGGAGGTGCACACCTATAATCCCAGCACTCAGGACAGAGAGGCAGGTGAGTTATGGGACAGCTAGAGCTGTTACACAGAGAAACTCCTCTCATGGGAAAAAAGAAAAAAAAAAAAGAAGTGAAATCAGAGGTCCCTAGTGGCAGCTCAAAGGGACTGAATTTGAGGTTCACAATGTGAACCCTTGCTTCCCAGCTGATGGAACCACTCTGGAATGCTTTTGGAAGCTGGCACCTACCTGGTAGAAGTTGGTGACTAATGACAGCCCTTGAAACATGGCAGCGTAGCCCCCGATTCCAAAGGCTTTTCTACTTCTTGGTCTGCCAGCATGTAAGAAGCCTTGCTTCATGTTCCAGGAACAAGAACTCCACCATGCCTGACTGTATGTACCCTCTGGAACTGTATGCCCACACAGACTCTTCTTTGTTCCTGCTGGTGATGCAAATGTACCTAACAGATGGACTTCAACAACAAAAATAACAGGGACCATCGTCCCTCTTCCCTTCCAATAGGACAGGAGGAAAAGATGGGGTGGGGAGGGATGGTGTGAAGAGTCTTTGTCCCATTCTGAGACAGTGCCCCATGGAGGCGGCCGCATTTTAAAGCCACTGTCTGAGTAGAACTACGCAAGTCATAGTAACTTTTCATTTTGTCAAGAGGTTCTCATTGCCTCGTTTATAAAAATGAGAGCAGCAGGGGCATTGCTCGCGAAGGAACTGTGTTTCTTCGAGGGACATTTCAGTAGATGTTACTCGCCGTGCTTCAGAGCTTAAAGGGATTTCTTCTTACATGGGCAGTGCCCCACTTCCTTGGATAGTGATATTATTTGAAGAATGCGGAGTCCCCGGTATAATGGATTTCTTAATGGCTGGATGGGAAAAGAACTTATACTGAAAGTTATGTTTCCACCTACACTTATATACAATGGTTATTATGAAAGAGGCAGAAAAATTGCTTTCAACCAACAGGTATTGTAGGTGGTTGCCCTTGGAAGGCGATTAGAAATACAAAGGGCTTGGCATTATTCGTATTTACTTAGCAAAGGTGATCTAATCCCTGGGTCAACACAAAGGCTGAGGAAAGAGAAGAAAGTGTTTACTGGTGGTAGAAGGTTGTTAGGCAGCTCTTACAGACCAAGTCTGGGGTTTAGGGTGGGGACTACTGCCATTTTTGTTTGTCAGACAGACCCCCAAGAGAACGCTGCCTGGACAGGAATAACAATAAAGTTTGGCGGATGGAAGGCCCGGCTTGCAAACCGAAGACCTTGGCTATCTTTCCTTTTAAATTAACCAGCAGAATTGGTGGGTGGGAGCACGAACTCTCTCCTGACCAGATTCCATATTTGCTCATACTACTTACCAGGACCGGGCTGTATTTCAGTTTAAATCTCTGAATAGGAAGCCTCCGGGATTGCAAAGAAGAAAAAGTTTGGTCCCAGGAGCCAGCCAAGTAGAGAAAAAGAGCGCACTTCATAGAGGGTTAAGTGGGGGCGTTGCGGGGCACTCGCCCCTCAGGCAAGAGAGTAAATGTGTGTGTGTGTGTGTGTGTGTGTGTGTGTGTGTGTGTGTGANGAGAGAGAGAGAGAGAGAGAGAGAGAGAGAGAGAGAGAGAGAGAGAGAGGTGTGTGTGTGTGTGTGTGTGTGTGTGCGCAGCGAGGAGTTAGCGGTGCTTACGGCCCCGCCGTCGCCGCAGCCACCAGCCGTTTCTTACCCGCAGGTGCAAATCTGACACAGACACCAGTTCCTCATGCCCTTGGCTCCAGCGTCCTTCTCCTCAGGGCTTCAGCGGGCACTCAGGCGCAGGCACAGCGTCCACAGTCGTCAAGGCAATCCAGGGGGGCGGGGGAGGAGCGACGCGACTTCCGGCGGCGACCAAGGCGCGTGCGGGTCACAGGTCGCAGGCCTGCAGGCCCCGCCTCCCGGCGCCGGCGACTTCCGGCTTGAGTTACTCCTGGAGCCTTAGAAGCGTGAGTCGAGTGCGGCGTGGAGCCGGTGAGTGGCGACTTGCTAGGGAGGCCGGCGACCGGACGGTGGTGGGGACCCTCCGGGGAGGGGGGGTCGTGTCGGTAGGGCTAGGCGAGCAAGGCACGAGCAACCGCACCTCTTCGGAGCCTGGGACCCTCGCCGGCAGCGACTCCCGGAGCCCGAAAGGAGGAAGGGCTTGCAGACCTCGGTTTGCCTTTTTTTTTTTTTTAAGTGGGATGTGGGGTGGGCGATGTGTCACGCACCTGCTGTGTCCCCAAGCACGTGATCCGAAACTTTTAAGGACACTCGGTGCAGTCGCGGGGCCGAGGTCCTCTCGTCTGGTGAAAGTCAGCCAGCTTGACAAGAACGACAGACTTTTGGAGGGGCTAAAGTGGGGAAGGGGGAGATGTCCTCTTTTCCCGTGGTCGTCTTGGGCCAGAGTGCCCGAGGGCGTGCTGTCACCTAGCTGGGCGTCTCTGCACCCGACTTCCAGCTGCGTGATTCATCGCCCCGCCGCCGAACCGGAAACTCCCAGCGCACTCCACAGGTACCTTAAGGGTGTGTGGACTTTGCAGTGGAACTTGGGCCAGTACTGCTGTATCCCGTCGGGAGCAAAGGGAATTCGATGTGGCTAAACATTCCTTGAGTTCTCAGCTGAGAAGTCTGAGGTGGCTGGTAAACGCCAGCATCTGTTTCTCAGTTTGTCCATTTTTGTGGCTGTTGTTGGTTGTTTTTCCCAGACCCTTAAACTTTGTATCACTTGTAATTTGCGTTTGTTTACTTTTTAGTCCCAGGAAGTAAGCAACCATGGTGCTCAATGGCGTTGATAAGATGAGTCAGCTTCAGAAAAACACTGCCAACATCAGGAATATCTGTGTCTTGGCTCACGTTGACCATGGTGAGATGCTTTTAAAATGACTTTTTCCTAACGGAGACATGTCTCCCTATGTTTCGTTGAAGTGATGAAAGTCATGGCTGCCAAGATGTTGTGTGTGTGTGTCATGTCAGAGAAGCATCTGTAAAACGTTTGTAATAATCTGGTTAACTGGTGATTAGCATTCTTCTGCATAGGATTTCGTTCACCCAATGCTTTTACATTTGAACTTGAATTTTTGTTACATTATGGAAAAGTTTTTGAAATATTAAAACATCTGGGAGGGGGTATCTCCTAGGAATCATATTTAATTCATAGCCCACCGCGTGAGCATCTGCTAAGTTTGCGGCGTTTTGTTAGATTTATGAGGAGCTAGACATCTCTTAGGCAGCCACCTGCCCAGCTGAAGAGGTTTTAGGGACGAATCAGGGCAATGTGATGAAATTGGGAGGCGGGGGAATGATAGGTAAGAGTTGTGAGAACTGGAGGATTGGGGCGCCAGATTGGGCCAAGAGAAGCTGTCAGACACGTACCTTGAGGAGGGAGGGGACTTTAGCTGATAGGTGGTGACAAGCCTTAGAAGTGGCAGTGTGTGAACAGGGACAGGAGGGAAAGATACACTTCAAGTGTAGATGCGGTAAAGGCCGGGTTAGCTAACACTTGTTTGTGGGATGTGAATAGACATTTCTTTGACCCCATCAGATGGCTTCCTTCTGAGTCTGCTCGCCAGTAAAACTCTTCCTTCTAGTAGCTGCCACTCGGTTTAGAATGGCTGGTGGAGTCAAAACTACTCAGCCGGTCAAAGGCGAGGGAGTGGACTCGGGGAGGAGACAGGCTGGGGCTTGTCCCTTAGAGCTTGTCAGGCCTGCAGGACTGTAAGAGACGGGTTACCTGCTCCATCCCTGCAGTTAGCCATCTTAAACGCCGAGCTCTTTTCAAATCACCTAACCCGTTTGAGCTTCAGCGTGCAGACTGTGTAAGAGGATGATAGTGAGAATCTCTAGTCAGCAGTGAAATACTTAGTCATGAAAATACTCCACAGTTTTTATTAGCATGTAGGGAGCCATTGGAGAAAAAAAGCCAGGGCAAAGTACTCGAATTGTAGATGAGATTAGATTGGTAAAGGTGCTTGGGTGGGTTGAAAGGCAGAAAAGCGACCTGGTGACCCTTGTCGTTAACGTGAGCTCTGAAGAGAAGGTAGGTGGGACAGAAACTGAGAGAGAATGGATCACTTTCTAGGAAGAGCCAACTGAGACTGTGTCTTGTATACAAACGAGTGACTAACCTGCTCCATGAGTTTTATGATTATATGCACCTGTTTGGAGGGTATGAGGTCTAGCCAAAGGTTTTACTTGTTTTTTTTTTTTCCTTTTTGTTTCTGTTTTGTTTTTGCTTTGAGAACAAAATAGCAGATTTACTGCTGTGTACGTATCCAACACTGTTGTTCCAGGAATTCCGCCTTACTTAATAATAGGAAGTCCACTCTTTTGTGGTACATTCCAAGGGGTGTATGTTTGCCATACATAAAATGAATTCTACTCTGTCATGCAGCAGGAAAGTGATTATCTAGGATTATATATTAAAACACATTATCTAAGCTCTCTAGAGGGCCTGGGATTGGTCCCTGGCTCACACTATTACACAGTTTGTACAGTTTATTTATATATTCACAGTCTACAGAAAGCTGGATTGAAGGAATAATCCAGTCATTTGTTAGGCCTACCCAGCTGTGGAACTTGAGAGTGTCCATGCCATTCTTTAAATGCAGATACCTGGTTATGCCACTTGAAATTGATTGGCAATAGTCTGATAAAGGTAACTGTAAATGTACATTTGATTATGCAAAGAGTTTCTTCCATTGTAAAGTAGATGCCAGGTTTAGTTTTGAACCTGGGTTGTTCTTGCCGCTTCGGTGTAGCGCTCCAGAGGTTGTATTGCAAACAAGAAAACAGTTTTCTTAGGAAATAAGTGTGACAGGCTAACTAGCAAATGTTGTCAAGAGTCACATATGGGTAGCTATGACAGAAGACTGTGTGCTTTTATTTTCTGGTGGTGACTTACCCAGCTTACCTTCCTGAGGTAACTGCTGTTGTTGTCCTTGTCACTTTGAGTCCCAAGAGCCTAAGTTTATCAGTGTGCTCAGTTGTGCGGGACGGTTGGTAAGTTGCAGTAACTAGTATAAACACTGGAGAAGATGGTCTGTCTCGTAGTGATTTGCCTCACCAAAGTCATGTTTCTCTCTGTAAAGTCGGCCTCAATTTAAGAAAATGTCTGGGCTTAAAATTAACCTGATAGCTTTTCGAGTGAAATGGTGAGGTCCCCAGGTAGTAAATATAGCACTATAGAATGCTAGCCCCTTTAAACGAATGTATTGTAACTAATGTTATTTTAACAGGAAAAACTACCCTTGCTGATTGTCTTATATCTAGTAATGGAATCATCTCCAGCCGCCTGGCAGGCAAGGTATGTTGTTAGATTTGGTAAATACTTGTTGCACTTTAATGAGTATTAGCTATCTCTAATGTCACGATCCCTTTGCTTTGTTCTTCAGTGATCTAAACATGTAGAAGGAACTGGCAACCCATTAAGTTAAGATAAAATAGGTATTGAGAAAAGTTCACTTGTATATTGCTTTTTGTTACATTGTTACATATTCTATAAGGGCAGAAGAGAGTTGTGGCAAATCAGCAGTTACATGATCTCAAGATTTCACAGGTGGTTATGTTGGCTGGTATGAGAGAAAGGCAGAAAATAGCGAGAATAAAGACCAGTTTCTGGGTGTTGTGCCTGATTTGAGTGGAACTTAGAGAACAACAGAACGTGTCAAATTGCATAAGACTGTGAAGATTAGCCCAAGGCATGCAAGAACGAAAGGAAGACTGGAGGATCATGTTGCAGACACTGCTTTAGGGGTTGATGAGATGGCCATGTAGGCAGAAGTGCTTGCTGTGGGGCCTGATGTCCTGCATGAGATTCTTGGGATCCACCTGATAGGAAGGGAGAACACACTCTATTCTCCTCTGACCTTTGTGCAGGGCGTGTGGGCATGGACATACACACATACACATGCACGCATGCACACACACACACACACAAGTAATGCAATTTTTAAAAGTGAGTTTGTTCTAGCTTTATGTTCAGAGGGTTTAAGATTTGTACTCTCAAAGAAATGTTTCTCTCTGAAGTGGACCTAGTACGTAATCAACAGAATTGATGAGGAATAATGAGGTGGGAAAATAGAGAAACAAAATCAAGTCAGCAAAATAGTCCCAGGAGACTTAGAAGATTATTGGAAATTTGAGACCGTTTGTGTGGGAGCCAGCAGGTTGTGTTTAGTAATGGAGAACTCATGTTCTCCCAGCGTGGGGAGGTAGGAGGACAGTACCCAAAGTAAGATGAAAGAAGATAAAGTGTAAGGAATTGAGGTAGAAAAGAGATGCTGTGTAGAAAACACCAGGGGAGCCAGAGACGACTAACAAATGTAAAAATGATGGCCACACGTAAGATATCTGCTCGGCTCTAACGCAACTTCCGCCACCCCTCCCTTGCGAGAGTGCAGCACACCGCACAGTAATGTAGATGTAAATAGTAAGAAACGCCGTCAGGAGGAGCTTTGTGAGAGCTGCCATGCTTGCTGCGTTTTCTGTAGATATAACTTGTTCTGAACTATGAACTAATTAAACTTACAACAGTGTAGAAATTTGTGATCCCTGTGACTAAAGCCTTATTTTGCTTTTTCCTTTTTAGTTTTCATTGTTGAAGCACATTTGGCGCTTTGAGCAGCTGATGCCACTTTCTGTGGCTCACTGCGCTTGGGAAATGTGTGAAGTGCAGCAAATATAAAGAGATTTTTTTCAATGAATGACTTAAGATTAGTAGAACTGACATTATCGGCAAGACTGGTAAAGAATGAGAAGTAGATGATACTAAGAAAGAAATGCTGTAGAGATTTAAGTAATAGATTATAACAGACAGCTTCATGTTGATAAACCTGATACTATGATCATTTAAG